CATTTTCCTTAACAAATCATATAGAAAATCCTTATAGAACAAGCTTTTAATGTCTTTTTCCTCTCAATAAGTCATTTTCAAGTGAAATAATTTTATACAGTCTAGGGAATCTGTATTGGGGTTTATAAAATAAGTCTACAAATCAAGCATATACTGTAAGAAACCATAAAGAAGTTTGTTTAAAAGTAATTCTTTGATGTACATATATTTTTAGCCATTGTTAAAAATAAAAACAAGCTTATATACTTTTTTAGTTAAGGTATTATTGCTGCAACAAAACACCGTGGCCAAAAAGCAAGTTGGGGGGAGGGTTTATTCAGCTTATATTTCCACATTGTTGTTCATCACCAAAGGAAGTCAGGACAAAAACTCAAGCATGCCAGGATCCTGGATGAGGAGCTGATGCAAAGTTCATGGAGGAATGATGCTTACTGGGTTAGTTCACATGTCTTGAACAACCTACTTACTTATAGAACACAGGATTACCAACCAGCCTAGGTTAGGCACAACCACAATGGGCCAGGTCTTCCTCTAGTGATCACTAATTAAGAAAATGCCTTGCAATTGGATCTTATGAAGGCATTTTCTCAATTGAGATTCCTTCCACTCTTATGACTCCAATTTGTGTCACATAAGTATAAAACCAGACAGTACATATACTAATGAAAAGAATGTGCTTAAATGTTTTGACAGGAAGATTTAAATCCTTCCTGAATATTTGATATTGAAGGATGTAAGACATCTCTTCAATGTTTACAGAATTGAATGTTATATTGATTTTTCTTCATTTGTGCATGAGTTTGTGGGTATGAATATGCATATATTCTTATTTTTATGTGTAGGCAGATATTCATATTGTGACCATATGTGTACTCAAAGTTAATGTTGGCAATCTTCTTTGACTGTTTTCTGCTTAATTCATTGAGGAAAGTCCTCTCAGTTGAACTCACAGTTTACTGATAGGCTATTAGGGTTAGCCAGCTGTTCTGTCTCTACTTCCTAATTCTTAGAATTACCTGTAGTGGGTTATGGAGATCTGTTTAGTCTTCATTTTTGTACGTCAAGTAATTTAACCACTGAGTCACCATATCCCTATCCCTGATATTTGGAAGTCAGGTTGTCAACAATGAGATGATTTCATATGAATATTTATAGTATCCAATGTCAAAAGCACTTTTAAGACCATTTTAAAATTTGCTTGGAATTCTCTCTTAAATCTAAAATCTAATGCAGAGAAAAATGTAGAGCTAAATAAAAATCAATAAAACTAATGCAATAATATTAATATGAAACACAATTTAGAAACTCAAATAACTTTTAGAATCAGTCCTTCTAATGCAGTACAGCCTAAGTAACAGCAAATTGATTTTTATATACTGATGACTAATGTTAAGAAAATACTATTCTTAAGTGTTTTTTTTTTTCTGTAGTTAAACTAGTGTTTCTCTAAGAGCAGAAAACTGAAAACACTGCAATTAGAAACACACACTAGGATGTAACCCTAGGCAAGTTGTTTCAGGCAGCCTTTGCAGGTACTGAGTGATGCAGAGACGTATATACTACAAAGATCATATACTGTGTGTTCAGGAGCCACGGCTCTTGTGAATTCACATGATGCACCACAGGTAATCTCTAGCAGAGACATCTGAATTCTTTATTATGGTTGATTTTGAATTGAAATTTGGTTGTTGAATGTTTGTAAAGAAATCTTTTGCTACGTCCAGCCTTGTCCTGATATCCCCATCTTGACTTGCACAATCCACATGTAGTTACAAGTCACACTGTAAAATGTTGTAATATAGAATTTCTTATCAAAGAAAATTCCATACAGAAAGTATTCTTCCTTTTCAGTTAGTTACTTCCTTTGCTTTTCATTATTTGTTTTGAATTTTTGATATACAATTTAATTTTAAAGGGTTTACTATAATGTCAATACTAGTAGTGATATGCATTTTAGTGTTTTGAAGACAATACACTTAAACTCTCCTCAGCTTCAACACATTTCAAGAAGGTGAAATATGTTTACATCTTTTTAAAGACTGTGAAAACAGAAAACATTTATTCATTATCCACTTGTTCATAACCCTTCCTAATGTTCAACAACCACCACAACAAAAAACACTGTTTATAACATTGTGTTAACATAAAAATCAAATCAATTTAAATAGTAGATTCATCGGAAAATATAAAATACAGTATTTAGAAGATAAATATGGAAATATATAAGGGAAATAGTTTTAGAGTTTAGGTTATGAATATTTAAAATAATAGATAAAAATTGAAACATTAAATTGGATTGGAAAAATATAGGTTTGTAGTTCTTTTTTCCTACTCTTTGGGGGGCTACCACCCAGCTGCCAAATACACAGAGACTTATTCTTACTGATGAATGCCCAGCCTTAGGTTGAGTTGTTTCAAGCCAGCTTTTCTAACTTAAATTCTTCCATTTCTCTTTAGCTACATTTTCCCCTCGTTTTTATTTTAATTCTATGAATCATTATGTTTTTATTCTATATTTCTTTATTTCCTTCTTAACCCACAATTGGCTGTTTTTGGTTGTATTTTACTCTTCATTCTTTTACTCTTTGTTCTTTTCTCTTTGAGGTTGTCCTCCATGCAGGTACCCAATAAAGACACACATTGTGACTTATTCTTGTTCATAAATGCACAACCTTAGTTTGGCATGTTTCTTGCCATCTTTTCTTAACTTAAAGTAACATGTCTTTTGTCTTTCAGATATAACTTTCTTTATTTTTATGTACCTTTCATCTTACTCCTTGGCTGGCTGTGTAGATGCCCAACCCTTGTGCCCTCTTCTCCTCATTTTCTCATTCCTTTAGACTCTCTTTCCAGATTTCTCCCATTTATTTTCTCTGCCTTCCAGCCCCACCTATCTTTTTTCCTGCCTTGCCATTAACTGTTCAGCTCTTTATTCGACTAATCAGCTGCTTTACACAGGCAAAGTAACTCAGCTTCATAGAGTTAAAGGCAGCTTCAAAAAATGCAACACATTTTTGCATCATTAAACAAATTTTCCACAGATAAAAGCATAAACGAAGAATGCAAAACAAAGAAAAAATAAATACACACGGAGAGACTTATTCTTACTTGTAAATGCCCACATAAATTTTTTGAGGGTTTAGGTATAGTCTATTCAGTGGGTTATGGGAGGAAAGGGAAAGGGGAATAAGGGAGAATCCACATAAATGTTACACATCTTGATATAATATTCCACAATAGCTGGCTGTGTGGGTAGCCACCAGAGTCCTCCTCTTCTTCTCTTTTTCTCACTCCTCCCTCTTCTCTTAAGCCTAGATTTCTCCTCCTATTTATTCTCTCCACCTGGAAGCCCTGTCTATCCCTCTATCTTTCCTAGCTGTAGGCTGTTCAGCTCTTTTTTAGACGAATCAGATGTGTTAGATAGGCAACATAGCACAGCTTTACAGAGTTAAACAAATGCAACATTAAAAAAAATACAACACATCTTTGAATTATTAAACAAATATTCAAAGCATAAGTAAATGCAGAACACCTTAAAATAAAATTTCATAATATAGGCTCATGCAAAATAGTCTCAAGAGAAAGCTTTACTCCTTATTGTGTGTATATACTTATTTCTTTGGTTTTGAGAACTTTTTTCTTGACATACCAAAAGAATTATTGTTTTCTTCTGTTTTTACAAGTGGTGTTCCCCAAACATGACTAACTACAAAGCAAATCTCCCAATGCATGTGTCAAAACACTGTGATCCATGCCTGAGTACAATGCCAGAAACAAAACTCTAGTGATATTTCTAGAGCAACACTTAATTAAGTTGTTGTTTATGCAGTAAATACAAGATCAGACTCTTGGGTCCAGCATCATGAGCTAAGGGACTACAGAGCTTCACAGATTCTAATCAGAGGATGGGCTTTGTGTAGAGAGAGAGAGGGGAAAAAAAAACTTCTGGAGGGGATAGCAGAGATTCTGACATATATTATCTGATCAAACACGTTTTTATGAATAAATTTTTATTAGAGAGATCCAGATAGCAAAAGGCTAAGTAATATTATAGTAAATAACCCAACCAAACTCCATTTCTAAAAGTAAGAAAAATATTATTAGACAATTAGAATATGTCTCATCTTGTTTTATTAAATAATTTACTCCACAATAGGATGATATTTGCTAATTAAAGTACAAAGTTCTTCTGGAATAACTTACAGTATATATAGTATTGTTGTAGAGTGCAAATAGTTTCTGACTATTTATTTTTTAACAACCATTATAAAATATAGTATGCTCTCTAAAAATATGGAAATTAAGTCTACAATATTAGGCACATGAAAATAAAGCATTAGAAGAACTATAGGATTACTCAGACATTCCTTTTGAGCTGAAACGAGGTGCAGTGGAGCAAACATTCTCAAGATGATACCACAGGTACTTGTTGAAAGAAAGCTTAAGTTATGGAAAGAGAAGATCATCCAGATAAAAAATAATTCAAATCATTCTCATTTACAAGTAATATGTTCTTATACATGGGATAACCCAAATACTGCACCAGTAACTCTTAGAAGTTAAAAAATTATATTTTTATTTATAGGATATGCATTTAGTACATTTTTGAAATGCAAATATCAGTAACCTTCTTGTGAAATGAGAATATTCATAATGAGAGAAAACAGGAAAACATTGCCACTACGGCAGCTTCAAAAATAATACCTTGAAATTAAGCTAACCAAGAAAGTAAACAATATTTGCAATTAAAATTTTCAAAGACTGAATATGAAATTGAGGAAGACACAAGAAGATGGGAAGGTGCCCCTATGCTCAAAGGTCAGAAAAAAAATGTTATAAAAAAACTATTTTAACTAAAACGCTCCATAGATTCAATGCAATTCTCATCAAAATTCCACTGACATTCTGCATAGATTTAGACCAACAAGACAATTTATGAGGAAGCACAAAAGACAAAATGCCCAATGCAATCCTAAATAAAGACAAAGGTGCCAACATACCTGATTTCAAATTCTATTTCAAAAACAGCTCAGAAACAGAATGTCACTAGCACAAAACAGGAATGTAGATGAATAGCCTAGAAATAAAACACATGTGGGTACAGCCATACAATTTTTGACAAAATTACCAAAAACAAAACTTGGAGAAAATATAGTCACTTTGACAAATGGTGCAGGAAGGCTGCATATCCAAATGTAGAAAACTGAAATAAGATCACCTCCTTTCATTCTCTATGATTATCAATTCAAGTGAGTAAAACAGATTACCTGAGATCTAATACTCTAAACCTATTAGAGGAAAACAAAGGGAAATACTTCAAGACACAGGTACATGTAGTAGCATTCAGAAGAAATCCCTACAGTGCAAGATATACAAACAAGAAGGGACCAAATGGATCAAAAGAGATTTAAAAACCTCTGAGTAACAAAGAAAACAACCATGTGGAAAAATGACTTATAGAATTGGAGAAACCTTTTGCCAGCTGTATATCTGGCAAATAATTATTATATTAAATAAATATATAATTTTAAAAATTGGAAAAAAGTATCTCTAATGAAATTAAAACCCCATAAAAGATGGAATTGTAAATGGGCAATGGCTAAATATCTATAATCATCAGAGAAGTTAAATTAAAGGTTTGTGATGTGGGAGTGTCATATATCAATCTGTTGATTTCATTGGTTAAGTTATAATAAACCAGCTGCTTGGCCTCATGGCTGGAACATAGATGGGAGGAGTAAACAGAATAGAATTCTGGGCGGAAGAGGAAGTGAGGTCAGACTCTGCTCTGCTTCCGGAGAGACCCGACAGCTCTGCTGGAGCAGAGACGCCATGCTCAGCTCTCCCAGGCAGCTGCAACCCACGATGGACTTAGGCTAGAATCTTCCCGATAGGCGCACCTTGGGGTGCTTACACACATTATTAGAAATGGGCTAGTCCAGGTGCGAGAAGGCCTGTAAGGGCTAGAGTTCATGGGCCAAGCAGTTCTTTAAATGAATACAGTTTGTGTGTTGTTATTTCGGGCATAAGCTAGCCAAGCGGCTGGGGTGTTGGGGACGCAGCCCCGCCGCCGCTCCTATTTCAACAGGTTTGGAATTCATCTTTCCTTAGACGGAAAGTTTTAACAAATAAAATCAACAAAAAGCCAAAATAGGTTGGTAGACACAGAATACCCTTTTATATTGATGGTAGAAATGTAGATTAGTGTAGTCATACTGAAAATCAGTATGAAGTATTTGATAAAAATCTAAAAGTAGGAAGTATTATGTGAACCAATATAAATATATGTATATCACAGCAGCACTAGTCACAATATCTAATTCATGAAACCTATCCAAGAGGCTACCAACAGACAATTATTTAAGTTTGCATATGGAATTTTAGTCACTGACAAAGAATAAAATTATGTTTCCTGCATGAAAATGAATGCTACTTGATCTCATTAAGCAGAACATGTCTTATCTAGAAAAAGTTATGGGATGTTTCTCTTATTTTTTATTCTAAATGTATGTACATCTTAAAGTCTTTATGTATGCAATGGAAGTAAATTGGAGACTGGAAAAATAAAGGGGATAGTAAAATTAGAGAGCAATTGGTAATGCATAGAAGGTAAATACATTAGACTTCATGATATCTCTTTCAAAAAAAGTCTTAAAATTTCATTATGATGTACATTGAATATTTACTAACAGAAATACCAAAAAATCAGTAAATGATGATAAAATTGTAAGAGTAAGTATAAAGTTTAATAATATCTCCTTATATGCTCTTATATTACACTAGAAATTCAATTATGTGATTTAACTATGAACGTACTTTATTTATAAACTGATACTAATTTTAAACAATATACTAAAAGAAATAAATAATAATTTTATTTTATCTCATATAAAATTAGTAATTTTGTGTTTCTTAATTTGCATTTTCGTGCATTTCATTATATCCCTTCCAAATTATAGAAAAGAGTGACAGAAGCTGAGTTAATGAAGCAGTAAATATGTCATGAAAACAAATTTGTCCAATGTACTCACACAAAACAACATAGATGAGACTTGGCAGGGTAGGGCCAAGGACAGGCCCTTATGCAAAAAACAGATGTGATGAGAGTAATACTTGAGAAGAAAGGAAGAGGGAACAGTTATGTAGTTATACTACATAAACTAGTATAACAGTGTACTCTGAATATCTGATTAACTGCTGAACTTCAAACCCAGCTTCACCTGACAAATATTGAGAATTGAAAAACAGCTCCCTGCTTAGAGACAAAATTTGAATGCAATTCAGGTGTCTAAAGTTATTGAAAATACATGAAGTGTAGAAGGCAGACACCATCTCTAACTGAAGGTTGGGGAACGTCTCTGACTTTGTCAAAGAGAGATCAGGATTCATAAGAAAGCCTTAATAACTACAATTGGTTTTCCAGTTGCTAGGTTCCAGGTTTCTGGGCATTGAAAGGAATCTTTGGTAGTTGTGGTGGCAGCAGCACCTTTTCATACCCTAGAATCATACTAGAGGGACACATTTCAGATAACTTTTAGCACAACGGGTTATTTTATTATTTTATTTTATTCTGACCTCATTTAACCTTCCCTCCATCTTCCTGAGTCCCTCCTCCTCACCTCCCGTTTCCCCAGGTTCACTTCTCCCTTTCCCTTCAGAAAAGAAAAGTTTATGTTTATATCCCAGGGATATCAATTAAAGCCAGCATACAAGTTACAATAAGACTGGTCACAACCTCCATATCAAGGCTGGTGTCACAAAACTTTTGGAAGAATAGGATCCCAAGCACTGGCAAAGGAATCAGAAACACACTGTATTTTCACTGTTAGGAGTCCCACAAGAGCACCAAGGTACACCACCATAGCTTATATGTGAAGGACTCACCTCAGACCCACGCAGTCTCTGTACGTCGATTCACGGCTTAGTTCATTGTGTATTTCATGTTCTTGAGGTGTCCCTGACTCCTCTGACTCCTTTAATCCTTCCAATTCCCTTTCTGCTGTGTTCTGTGAACTTGGTCTAATGTTTGTCCGTGAGTCTCTGCATTTGCTTGCATTGGTTGCTCAATGAAGCTTCTCTGATGACGATTGGACTAGACCCAATCTAGGAGAATTTTTTTTTTTCCAGGCTGTTTGTTTCTATCCTGAGTGTCTGAGCTGCACTGCCTCTGGTTCCAGACAGTATCAAGCTTGGGCTCCCTCTCATGGTACTGTGCCGAAGTTACTCCAGCAGTCTTGTAGACAGGATTAGATACTTAGTGCTTAAGATTAAACTCAGTTGTTTAACTAAGTAAAAAGGTTTGCATTTTCTACACTCAAACTTAGGCTTAAATTTTGACTGGAATTTTAACAATAATGAATGAAGGAGACAAGGAAATGCGAAAGGAGACTGCTCAAAAAATTGGAAAGGGGATCAATTTAGTTCACCGTTGATTACAACATCGACAAAATCTTAACTGTCTGTCATTTTCACGTTTGTAAATTATGCCTATAACAGTTATAAATTTGTATCAATTAGAGTAATTAATTCAGTAGCCTACTACATACTCCACATACAGACACAGTCAAGGTAATAATGTCAATATATTTCAAATGCTTTGTGTTTTGTCCTCTCCCAATACACATGTTATATGGCAACAGCTAGTATAACATCAGTAAATTAATATAAAACTTGAGAAATAATATCTCTTCTTTACCTATCTTTAAAAAAATCTGTAACTCAGAAATGTTTTGATATAATTAATTTGATAATTTTTAAAGAATGAAAAAAAACATGCTTCACTAAAACTTTGATTTGCTACTCTTTAATGTTGGAAAGAAATGCAGGTTTGTTTACTGGAAATGCGTGACTGCTCTTGATTCTCCAACTCCACTCATTTTCCAGCAGTTTAGAGGTCTCACTTTGCCTCAATGCCAAATGCACTTCGAGTCCATTCGACCACAGGCAAGTCACTCTGGCTGATGATCTAGTGTACTGCTAAGGATAAATCTGTCACTTCATTTTGCTTCTCACTGTTGCTACTATTTCTAATTTCCCTTAATGACTAGAGTACTTTCACGTACCCTTAACATTCTGTTAGCCTGCCCAAACTTCTCAAGTTCCATTTCCTTTGGAGAGCATCTTCCCTTATTTTAATTTAATTCTTTATCATTTGTGCGTGCTAACATGAATGGCTACCACTGTCGATGAAGCTTTTTTAGTCCATTTGATAACTTTTCAAGTGATACTCTCAGAATAGATGTCCTGGGAAACGTCCCTGATCTCTAATATTTTGTATTACCAACTAAGGCCAAATATGTTCAGAAACTATTAGGAATGACATAGTCGCGCATCTCTAAACTCTAACATGAATTCTTTTGCTTTCTCCATAGACACAGACTCTAACTGCATCTCCCTTGCCTTTAGTTAACTCAAAGTGCCATCAGTAGAATATTTCATAGAAACTAGTACCCATGTGCTAGTTTTATTCCAATAAACAAAAAAGAAATTAATGTAACTTCACTCATAAATAATCACTGTTGTCAGTGGAAAGGACTATTATTTATAAGTTTTGATCATTAGGTTTTATTAGTTAATACCACAAATTCATTTTTTTATGAGAATTGTACAACTGAAATTTTATCTGACAAAATAAATTACACTCTCAACACAACTCTGTCATTAATCAGTGTACTGTACACACTTAGGGTTTTAACAAAAAGTGAATTATGTTAAGTGTCTATGAAAAGAAATTGTGATTGAAAGTAAGAAAATATGAATCTTTTTAATAAAATCAAACAGTATGGGTACTATAACATATTCATTACCTATAGACTCAATCTTTGCTCCTTCCTATACTCACATACTTCTGAACTTAAAAATTCACATATATAATTGCTATCTACAATTAAAATACAACTATTTTGAGTTTTTGTTTAAGTGACATAAAATTAAAATGTTGTTTTTGTCAACAAAAACCTCCAGATTATTTATAGTTTGGCTAATCCATGCTGTTCCATTTTTATAGTTGAAAATTATCTGCAATATATTTCATAAATGTGATAATTAGTTAAAATAAAAATAAATATTTTCTATACTTATAAGCATAATTTTGATATTTATAATCTGGATATTTATGATTGCACATCTGTCTAAAACTCAATGTGCTATTTACGTTAACCATAACGAATTGAAAAAGTGAGCAAGAATTTTTGTTAAACTCTAAAAATAAAAAGTAAGAATGTTTAAAAACAAATACTATTTCCACACTTTTTATTAGACATTTGAAAGTGGCATTACATCAACATATTTATGACTTTTTTCTCAAATACAACCCACTGAGAAATCCAATGACCTCTACAAATAGTCAAGCTTAATATCTTAATTATTTCTTATCAAATAAAATGCCTTCACCTAATATTTGCAAACCTGCTTATAATGAATAGTCAACCTGACTTTATAAATAGTTAACCCAGGGGAAAAATATAACATGACACATTTCTCCTAAGTTTCTCTCTTTTGTAAATAACTGTTTTGTTCCCTCAAAGAACACAATGAGATGATACAAATCTTTGAAGAGGAATATCAAGTATTTTTAAAGATAAAATAAATAAATTTTGCATAATTTAGCATCTCAGAAAAGGAAAACACTTAAGCCACATTGTCATTACTGGAAACCTTCCCAAGCCCTCCCACCTGAGGAATATCTGAAAGGATCTTCATGATTAGTAATAATAGCCCACTCCTCTTGTAGAATCTTCTCAGTGTTTCTAAAGGTGTTTACAAAAATTTGATTTTAATTTTCAAGTTAAGACTTCCCTTGCTGTTTTTTCTGGTTAAACACAAACTCCCCTCTTAGCTACTCAGTGTGTGTTTCCTCCTTCTCACATCAAGGAACTCTTCTTGTGTGTTTAGCCTGTCCTTATAATAAAGTCTAGCAGTGTATGGTAATTCCTTACAGTCCTTTGGTCATTTATGTATAGTGCTTGGTGTTATTAACTTATATAATTCTACTTACATCTTTAGACTCAGTTCATATTTTTTTTTCAAATGAGAAAAGACAAAAACAAAAAACAATACAAACAAACAAACAAACAAACAAAAAAAACAAGCTCCACATGTGTCAGGCTGCCAAGACATTCTCCATGGTGTTCTAATACCTACCCCTTCAGAAATTGTTTTCAATTTCTTTTTTAAATTTAATGTAATTCATTTTACCCTTTGATTTCCTCTATGCAAAGCATATACCCTTCTCTATTCTTAATCAAATCTATAGCTTTCAGAATACTTAACCACAGAAGACTCCTGACAACATGGGATGAGAAATGAATGGCTACAATGAGAGATTCATTATTTCTCCATTTATACATCAACACAATGTTTGACACATAGTAGACAGTCAGTGCAGATATTTTCAGTGATTCAAGCAATTGAGTTTGGATACCATAAAACTGTGTTTTTGGCTTTTGCCCACTAGATCCATTTACTCCGGAGAGATAAAGCCATGGATATGAATAAAAGCACAAGGAAATTTTTATCTTGATAAGTTAACCAAAATATAAAATCAAGCTAAAAAGTATAACGAATTTTTTTGTGGGGTGTGGGGTGGGGTGGGGGAATGAAGTTCAGATGCCAGCAATTGAACAAAAGCCCCAGTGTCAGACTAGTCTATCTTTTTGTTGTTCTTATTCAGAGAAATCCTTGAGGTTTTTGGATATAACAATTGTTGTTTATCAAAAGTACATGACAAACCCTAGTGTTGTGGAAACCACATCCAGCAGTCACAGTACACAGAGAAATCAAGTTGCTCCTGATCTGGAAGCTTCCTCCATCTTGGCTAGTCCTCAAAGTGTCAAAAGTTCTCGTACTGGGCCAGAATTTTCATCAATAGTCTTAAATTCCTCTAAAATATGTGTACAAGAATGAGCTAGTAAGAAGTCTCTTAAAGGGCTAAAAACTCTTTATCCTTGAAATTGAAACCAGCTTCTCAGGAAATAATTCATGCCTGGTATTAGAAATCCGTTCAACCCAGAAGATGAGGTGAGACACTAACTTCTGGCCGTGGCTTCTCTGTGTACTCTAGAACTCACAGCAGCTTTGAATGTGTTTTATATAATTACAGAGTTTTGGTCTACCAATATCCTACCATGAGAAGAAGAGGGACCTACGGGACAGCATGCCACTCTAAGAATTTATATTCAGTTAATGGTCGAGGGTGAGGGATGAACAAAATCTGACCCATGTTCCAAAATAACAACCCTAAATAAACTCATTAGCTTTCCTCCTCCGTCCACCAAAAATGGAACACCAAAATACAGAAACATACAAGTTAAGAAGAGGAGGGAAGCAGTATTTATCCCTAGTGCATGAACTGGCTTTTGGAGCCTAATCCCTATAAATACCTTCCACAGCCTACATAAAGGGAGGAGGGTCTTGTTCCTGCTTCAAGTGATCTGACAGACTTTGTTGTCTCCCAATGGGAGTCTTCACCCTCTCTGAAGAATGGATTGGGTACTATGGGGGGGTGGGGTGGAAACAGCAGGAGGAGGGAAGGGATCAGAAACTGGTATTAGTATGTAAAATAAAAGCAAAATAAAAAATAAAATAAAAAGGAGACTACTGGGAATGGGACAAGAAAGGTAAGAGTAAAGGTATAATAAAAATATATTATTTGGATGTATAGAAAATGTCAGAATGAAGCCCATTGTTATAAATTATCAAATTATATTAATTGAATATTTTTAAAATAAAAATATATGAATAAAAGAACTGAAATTTGTAAGTCTTGGGAGTTCATGTGGTAAATCACTTTCTAGTTTCTGAAATATTTACTGATATGAAGTTTGACTTAACTCATTTACAGATTTTCTGAGAAATTTTATTTATTATTTTATTCACTTATTTATTTTCAAGACAGGACTTCTCTGGCTGTCTGGATACTCACTTTTTAGACCAGGCTGATCTGGAACTCAGAGGTCTGCTTGCCTCTGCCTTTCAAATGTTTGGAGAAAGTCATCTTTTAAAAACTGG